TATTACACATCTTTTAAACCCTACTCTTTTGACTTGCATTGTCCAACAAATCGTGTTCCGCTTTATGAAGAAATATAGCTTCTCTAGCGCAGAGCTAACTTGTTTTAGCTCTCGATATCCAAGCATTTAACGATCCAAAGAGAATCTTAAGGGCCTTGTGTTTAAGTGCTGTTGAGATTTTGGGAGTCTGTCCTTCATTCATGGTTTCCTCACCTTCTTGGTGAGTCTTTGTTTTTTGATGTAATATCAAATGCATTTCATTGAATGAATAGCAATAGAAATTTCAAGAGTCCACCAAACTCTTAATTTAAATCCAGAAGAACCTGTGGAAGTGCAGGTGGCTCTGAAATGGCTTCATATGACAAGGGAGTGGATTTTTAGTATTGCATTGGCACATTGTCTAGATTTGCTTTTTGTTGTTGTTTTAAATGAATGATGCAGGCAGGCATTCTGGGAGAATTACAGTACTGTTTCATCCGTAGCATTGCTTTTAACACTCTCACATTTTAAATTCTGTGACAAATAGGTCAGAGTCTCTCCTTATTGTCCCTTTCGTCTTTTGTTACTGTGGCCCTGTCTGTCAATTTTTGTTACGACTGTTTGTTAGCGATGCTATTTGTATTTTATTGTTAATATGATTTGAAATACCTCAGCAGCACTTACATGGAAGGTTCACTTTAAGCAAAAGACACCAGTAGTCAACTCCAGAATGTACAAAAGCTGTTTCTTACAGTCAATTTTAACATGACCAAGATGTAAAACAAAACTACAAAGTATAACAGGAAAATCTGTAATAATAATGCCACATAAGTCTACTACTGCTATTTCAAGTACTACTACTACTACTTAAAGGGTATGTCCAGGTTAACTTGTAATGAATATTTTGTTATCCTACTTGCCAAAGTAAAAAAAGAAAAAGCCTTTGTCTTTGCGGCTGGGTCTTGTTGCTGCTCAATCCGCTGGTTCTGTCCGGAAATTTCAACGTAGCCTCTCTGGACGTGTAGATTTGTGTGTTGTTTTGTGCATTAGTGTCATGACCCGGTGGTCGCCAGGACTGTGGGGAGTTACTGATATATTTATATAAGGAATTACTCCAAGATTAGAGAACTTCTTTTCTAAATTCTATATATATTCACTTATGTAAAATGCTCATATTTTATATTTGAACTAATATCTAGTTTGAATGTAGTTTTTGTCATGCTTATTCACTAAAAGGAAAAAAAAAAAAAAATCACTTCATTTATATTATAGCTATGCTAAAAAAGAAAAAGAAAAAAAAAGTCAAGACCAAAAATTGCAACCACACCCTTGTGATGTGGGAGTGGCTGTTGTGTGTCCTGCCCACATTTAAATGTGTTTGTTTGAGTGGGATGGGCTTGTGATGGTGCTCCTAAAGGAAAGCCCCCAGCTTTCATTGATGTAACAGACTTGATAGCACCAAACTATTCTTACTTACTTTTTTTTTTTTTTTTTTGCTTTTAATGAATTTCATTTGCCATGTTGCATTTTAACAATCATTTGAATTTAATTACTTTATGCCTTTTTTTGTATATCATGAGGGAGCAACATCACTGGCTTTCTTAGTTTAACAAAAACTTGCATTTATCATTTATGTCTTACTATTATTTCAGAGTTTGACACATTGTAGCAAACTATGTTGATGTGAGAGATGATTTTGTTTCGGTTGTGAATTTGTGTGTGTGCGCGCATGTTAAAGAGGATGCAACCAAGCATGCACCAATGTCAAAACTCTTATGGTGCATATCAACCATGAAAATAACGCTGTGAGTTTTATTTGTGTTTTGTGATATTTTGGAAGTGTTGCTACCTATTTTGTAGGTAAAACTCAAGCCGGTTGGATACCTGTTAAAAGCTTTACTAATAACTCAACTCCAGCTGATATGTAGGGGGCGCTAGTGGTGCATTTACTTCAAATGATAGTACTTTAGAGAGGTTCTGTCTGACATAATATCTTAAAAGTGAGACTCATTGGTAGGAAATACAGGAAACTGATTTTTAAAAAAAAGGAAGCATCATGCATCATTTGATGCAATTGACCACTTGGCTGTAAATGATATCTTTTTGAACCTGTGTGCTCATGATATGTTTCGGATGTGATTTATCGAAGGATGTTGAACCTGGCAGCAGCTTTGTACATTTGAAGTTGTTGCGGATCCTTTTTGGCGTGTGTGGATGCTCTGACTTGTGATTGGATAGTTTCTCGATTGTAGTGGGGTTTGCCGCTGTAGACCCTCAGTCTAGTGACAAAATAGGATCGTTACAGAAGAGGTCATGCACCAGAGAGCAGAGCGAGAGCTGGTCTGAGTAAAGGAGCTGTTGTATACCTCATTTATAACTCAAAACTGAGTAAAACTTACTTTAATCTACTTCAAAAGATAAAATAATAATAATAATAAAAAAAAGATCTGTCCCAGAACAGAAGCCTGCAGATGTCGGTTTAAAGTTTGGAGTGAGGAACCGGATGGATACCCAGAGGACCGCACAAGCTCATGCATATTAAAAACCCATCCCACTTATTTATATTTTGCTTTTGATACAAATTTAAGTTCACACTATAGCTCCTCATTCATTTTATACCAAAGCTTTTTTTATGATTTTACAATCATCGTCTTTATGAACCCCCAACCCTTATTTGTTGCAGGGTTTGACCATTCATTCTTTTGGGATTTGCGGTCTGCTTGTTCCTCACCTTCTCAGTGGTAACCAAAGACTTTCAAAGTGATTGTATGGACTAAACTCTCTCTTCTAGTGCCCTGCCTCAACCATTAGCTGATGGTTTTAGATCATTGGTGACTCATGTGGCCAAGTGGGTGGGGTTTAGTAGAAAGAGGAAGCAAAATGGCTCTGCCGGCTTCTGGAAAGGACTTAAAGTAACCCCTCATGGGCTGGGTGATGTTTTTTAATACACGCTGAAAGGATGTCCTGGGCTCACTGCAACCTGCTCAGGATAAACTGTCCTCTGGAGTTCCACTCTGTGGCTGCAGCAAGGCAACACTGTTTCTATGATTGTCTACAGAAAACATGCAACGTTTCTCCATAGTCATCTTTTAGGTGCGTCATCCCGTGGTTTTGATGTTCTGTCAATGTCTTTTATCTAGCTTTGCTGTTTCCACTGTCATGATTTCAATTGGTTTGATCAGCTGTGCAACTATGCATCGTTGTCCTCCATCCTGCAAGGGCAGCATCTGTGCGACACGGTCCTTTTCAGATGGATCTTAATACTTTTATGCCGAGTGGAGAGTCGAAAGCAACTATAAGCTCTATCCCAAAGCAAAAATATCCAAATATGTAATGTTTTACAAATGCAGATACCAAAGATTACTCTGTTCTTTTTCCTCTTCCTTCCCAAACCCTGCAGCTTGTGTATTAAGAAACAGAACCCAGCTCTGACAGTAGTCCTAACCTCAGTAATTCCAAAGCTTAGATGTATATTTTGGTATTTTTCTGAGATGCTTGTGGGGAAAAAAAAAGTTTGTCGTTTTTAATTTTCTTGTTCGTTGGATCTGTTGCTCTTTTTCTGTAACAGCATGGAATTTAACTGCAAAAATGTCTAACTGTAGGTGAAAGAAATAGTATTTTTGTATGTTTTTGGATGTGTCCGTGTATGTGATATCAGTTTCACTGCCCAACTTATTGTTTAAAAAAAAAAGGTTAAGATAAAAAAAGACTGTACATAATACTTTGGTCACTGATTTCAAAAGAAATCCCTCTCTATACTCTCATTTCCATGTTTCCTACGGCTGAAGCTCAAGGAATGTGTTCCATTCTCACCTGGTCACATACTGTAGATTGTACTTCTAGATCTCCCTTCAGAACGCTGTAGCTCACCGTTGTAATAGTGATGATTGGTGTGATTCTGAGTATCACTACAGACCTGAAGTCTAGTGCCATTCCTGGCCTGTTATCAAGCGAACATACACCCAAGACTGAACGCTAAACGGCTACATCACTGTAGCTTAGAACTGAATGATTGTGTAGAATATAAGTATGTGAATCAGGATACATGCTAGATTTGATGCATTTGTCTGCTGTATTTTGTTTGTTTTATATATATATATAACGAATCTTTTACTGTAACTGTACAGTTCTCTTTTGTTGTAAACATCATTAAACCATTTTCCAAGTGTTTTAATATTCTAACATGTCTTTGGTGTTTTAATATTTGTCATATTTTGGATCGTGTTGATGAATTTATGGAGCTGATATCAATTTTAGTTTATTTTTAACCTTATGCTTTACAGTAGTACACCAAATATGCAATTTTACGTACAAAATATGTAGAAAATAACAGTACTACCTCTCCAGACAGAGGTTTTGTACTTAAATTGTCTTATAAAATTTATAAAAAATGATCTGTTCATGCCTTGCATTAACATTCAATATCATGTATTTAAAAAATGCATCTATACATACATAACGCACACTACTGTTCAAAAGTGTGGGGTCTGCAAGATTTTTAATGTTTTTGAAAAGTCTCTTATGCTCACCAAAGATGCATTTAATTAATTAGAATACAGCAAAACCGTAGTACTGTACAACAATAATACAATTTTAAAATAACTTTTCTATTTTAATATATATTAAAATATTGTTTAGTCCTGTTATGGCAAAGCTGAATTTTCAACAGTCATTACTCCAGAATTCAGTGTCACATGATCCTTCAGAATTTATTCTAATATGTTGATTTGGTGCTCAATTTTTTTTTTATTTTTTTTTTATGATTTTGGAAGCAGTTGTGCTGCTTAATATTTTTATGAAAACCACTGTAATTTATTTTGGATTCTTTGAATAGAAAGTTCAAAAGAACAGCATTTATTTGAAAAAACGTTTTTAACATTATAAACACGTCTTTACTGACACTTTTGATCAAATTCATGCATCCTTGCTAAATAGTAGTATTAATTTAAAAACAAAAAAAAATCTTACTGACACCAAACCATTGAATGGTAGTGTATGCAAGACTACAAAATACAGGTTAGTCAAAGTAACAAATGCAAAAAACAATACATATAAATGCATCCAACAAAGATACACAATTCGTCTGTTAGTTGGCAGATACAAGTTGCTCCTGGGCTTGTGCTAATTGTATTAATTGTGTAATGTTGCAGTGGGAAAAGTTTCCATCTCCACAGCCTCGGCTGCATCCCTGTTTCTCCCTGTTCGACCCTTTAAAGGAATAAACAAATGACTTGAACTGATGAATTTTGACTTTTTTCCTTTTTACAAAACTATAGTCTGTTTTAAACCTACCATGTGATTACCTAGAACACTTATAAGACAATTAAGAGGATACGTTTGGGAATAGTAACTTGCTAAAAAGATGATTGTATAAACATATTTGTAGAAAAATGTTATATACCAGGTGGTCATAAAAAGGTATTTTTATGTTTAAAAATATATGAATGCCACTGAGGTACATATCAAACCAAGTGTTTAAAATGAATTGGTACACTACCTCATCAGATTTGCTCTTGCCTTTGCGAGGCTGCAGACAGAAATAGAAAATTAATATTTATATTGATTTGCCAACGGAGCACAGTACGTATATTATGCATCACACCACTGGGTAAACCTCACATCAAAAACACTTCCTAACCCCACAACCCACACACTTCTCTCATATTCGGTCCGTTGCCTTGATACACTTACTTTTTTTCCCTTAGTTCTTATTTCCTGGTATTCATCACTTGTATGTGGTCTCAGTTCCTAGAAAATACACAAACCAAAGTAAATAACACCAACCACCATTGCAGAGCGATTACTAAATGTAAGTGTTCAACTGTAAACAACCACAGGAGGGCAGCAGGTATTAAAGATGTCGCACTAATTTACCAAGGTAAGAAACATCTGGTTCATCTTATCTGTTACTCACATCCTTTTTTGCAAGCAAGTGTTACTGACCTGATAATGTGTCTCTGGCTCTCGTCTTCTAATCTGAAACATGTAGATATTGGTAGACATCTAAAAATGCCTCTTTTTTTTCTTTCAGAACTGCAATTTAACCTTTATCATTGTATCATTGATTACAAACAAGATTGGAGATCAAGGCAGGAAGTAAAGTGTACAACACACTAGATACCATTAATGTGCAGTTAATGTACTGCTATGCTCTATCTGCCATTGTGGCTAATGTAAATATATTTACAATAAATTCAAACATAAAATAACCTCACCGGTCTATCCAGTTGCTGATAATCGGAACTCATCTGAGGCAGATCCAAGTCCTAAAACATACAGCACGCACGTTGCCTTAGTATTATTTGGGTCATAGGCAGTACTTTTGAATTTTGTAACGATTAAAAATAAATATGCTTAATTAAGGGTTAAACCCGACTTTAAGAAGCTCTGGCCAACTCAGGGTGCGAATTATCGTGGGACTTGAATAAAGTAAAAATGTAAAAAGTACCTACATATATTTGTAGGTTGTTTTACCTTAAAGTATTAATATTTAATTAGAGTTTTTCAACATTTTCAGTAACCACAAAATGTTAGATTAAAAATGAGTCAGGGTACATATTTGTACGGTTAACAGATAGGCCTATGGCGTTGTTACCATATGCAACCCATAGTAGGCTAGAGCTAGACCGTATTAACACTGCCTATTTAGCTATCACTTTATTATGTCTTTACACATTACAAATATATCACAACAATGTTAGTGTTTTTTTTTTTTTTTTAAAGGCCTATTTAAAGATTTTAGCTGTTCTAGGGTTGCCAAAAGACCATTTGAGTTGTTCAGGTGGCGAAAATAATAGCATACATGTTGTACTATATAACGTTTTTGATTATAGTAAGGAAAAAATAAGGAACTTCATAAATGGCCAGTTTTTATTTTCCGAAGTGCATAGCAACCATGCACATCACAAATATGGCAACAAACCAAAATGAAGTTCAAACCAAAGTAGTGAAACTGTTTAAAACTCCAACCAATGTTTACTTAATTGTGGGGAGGGAGATGGAAATGCACTTACATAGTATTATCATAGTAGGAAGTATATTTGAACCTTGAACATGAACCTCTGTTTGGGAGATATTTATTAATGAGAACTCACTGTATAGACAGGCTCATTGGGGTTACGGGCCGGTGACGCAGGATCTGGAGGAACAGGCCCTTCCCTTGTAAACTAAGCCATACAAGGCAGAACACAGGTTAGCGGTTAAAACCGTGAGGTAAATTTCTTCACTTGGAACAAACGGTGCATGCTAGGGCTCAACTTACCTTCTCTCTGAAGTAGAGAGCAGTAAAAAGGATAGAATACAGCAGCAGGAAAACATCTAAAACATAGCAATACGTTGGGTCACTCACAGACAAGGCCTCTGCAAATAGAACAAACATTTTTAAAAGACTTTCGTAAAGTACTGAACTAAAATATGGTGTTTCGAATTTGATGGCGTGTTCTTGTTATTTATGGATATGTTTTGTAATGTTTGTCTTCTTTTCTTCCTTTCTCTGCTTAGTTGGTTTTGTAATTTTAAAAAGCAAGAAAACAAGAAAGAATACATAAGAGAATGGAAGAATGAGAGAAAAAAAAAGTCTGAAAAAACATCGTTTATGAGAAGCACCACTAGTACCTAAACCACCATACAAATAAAAAAAGAAAAAAAAAACTCTGTATTTAGATTACATTAAGATGTTAATTTAGTTTTAAGGCACCTAAGAAGTTGGAAAACATTTGAAAAATTGTATATGCCTAAATGTCTATGGGATGTTAATACAATTTTCCAACCCCAAGGCTTTAGTTCTAGAGTCACTGATTCATATACAAAGACTTTCTCTGATGTTTTCTTTCTTGTTAGAAATTCTTGTAAAACATATTAAAATTTGAGTTTAAACAGGGGCATCCCAAAAGCGGCACACAAATGATCTGCTTGCATTTATTGGATTAAATGTGTATAATGCAAACTGGCTTTACAACTTTATAAACAAACCACAGAGACCAGTTAAAACTTACTGAAATTCTAAGGCAAATCCAACAAAGCTGAAATATAGATTATATGCATTTTAGTGTAAATATTGCAGAAGGTGTCTTAATGTATTGTGTAGTATTTATTTTGTGTCACTTTTTAAAGGTGGTTTAGTGACGACCTGCCAAGGGACTGCGGGTGAAAATTAGCCTCTGGCTAAATCCGGTGCAATGCACTGAATGGAAACATTTATTAAAAATAGTACACTGTCCCTTTTTTTAAATAAATAAATAAAAACAGTGCACACATGTATGGAACATTTAATCGGACTGCTCAATATGCCGCGGACTCTCTTATTTAACAGAACAATCAAAATAAATCTATGGATAGTATTTGAGATTACTTGATGTTTCATGAAGACTGTGTCTTGATTGTGAACAAAACAAGTCTAAATGCATTTTCTACGAACGTGACTTGAAATGACGTAAATGTGTATATGAAAATCTTCCAAATACCACTATTTGCACCATGGTTTGTCATAACTGCACAACACAAATAAACAACTGAAATTCAATTAAACAGACAAAACTCGAGTTACATTGCACTTTTTTTTTTTTTTACAATATATACTGCATTCATAATTGTTCCTCTTAAACAGAGGAAGATGGGCCACATCCAAATACTTCACGAGCACTGCATTGCGATCTATTAACTTAGCAAGGTTTTTTTGGATAAACTTCAATATCTAACTTGACATTTAACTTTAATTAATGACTTTTAACTGTAATCAGTTCTCAAAGATATTAAGACATTTCTGCACTAATGATTTTTACCTATCATTAGGACAAATAAAAACATTGAAGTAATTGAGAAAAAAAACTGTGTAATGCAAGCATGAATCAAATAAACTTTGGTCTAGTCACCACTCTACTGCTATAAATCTATAAGTAATGTTTATAAATAGCCAATGATTAGATAAATGCATTAAATAAAGTAACTAAAACTAACATGCACCATACTGTATGCTTTGTCGACAGAGTTCATTCGGCACATGGTATGATGTGCATACTGTGATCTTAAGGTGCTTGTTTGGTAACCTACTGAAATATTATTTTAGACAATTCTTGCCTAATTAAATGTAAAATGGATAAGTCTCATTCATCACTCTCATCGTAATTTGTTTCTATATTAAAAACGTTTAGAGGTTCAAAGAACAAAATAATCTTTATGAAAAAACTGCACTCATGCCTTCCTGTTCGAGGCAGAAGGGGCCCAGGCTCCTCTGTCTGTCTCTCTGTGATCTCTGTGTAAATGTGAGTGTGTCATCTTGTTCGGTGGTTTCTCTGCATGGGTCTAGATAAGTGCAAGAATGAGCACAAAACAGTGAAGCCCCCATTGCATCACTGCAGATCAAATCGGTGCTTATGGGGGCTGGTGGATGAAGGTTAGCAAACTGACCACACACCTTTCACATGCCATAGGGGCAAAAAGCAGTTTTCTTCTGCAAGATCACTGCATACAGAAACAAGGGCTTAGTAACAATCAATATACAGTATATAAGTCTAGAATGCAAAAAAAATAGACACGAATATTATGAAAACAGCAAATACACACACACACATATATATATATATATATATATGGAAACAGATTTTTTTTTGTCGTATGCAAACCATCACAAAGCTAGCCCGTCGCACAAAAAAAAAAACACCAAAAAAAAAAAAAAAAAAACAATGTACTGGTACTGTATTAAAATTAAGAAATTTTCCGTAAAACACCTGTATTTTGAATTTTGCACCGCATTGCATTGTGTTTTAGCATTAACGCATTGCATAAAATTAACAGATAATGTCCTGTCAGATTTTTGTTTTTGTTTTACAGTGTACATTTATCACTAATGCATTACTTATCACTAGCTGAAATTTGTTTGCTTAAAATAAAAGAATGAAAAACACAAAGAGGTACTTTAGATTGATTACAAATTTAAAATCGTCAGTAGGTTTTATTATTTTAGGCCCCTAATTACCTTGAAGAAGCTATTAATATTAAAATTAAGTTGTTTACCTAGTGCGATTCTATTTAATACTGTATATGACAGCAACACTGAATCATGATGAATTAAGAAAATGAGAAATAGTTTTTTTAAATTATGCCACATTGACTGCTAAGTAAGCGTTATCGTATACAACAGATTTAACGATTTTGCAGTTCGTTCCAAATGCAAGAAATATCTAGTAGATGAATATTTGGATTTGGGCTAAAATGGTTGTACATATGTAAAGGGGCTATGCCATCAGTTATCTATTTTGCCTCAAACTTGTACCTAAATTCTTCCACTTACGGCGTGGCAGCAAACACACATATTTAATAGGGATCGAAAATTAGTTTGTTGTCTTTTTGGCATGTTTTGTTATTAATTTGCAGCACAAACCTTTTGTGTATTTGTACAAATGGTATGTTTCTAAAATATTACTTTATTCACAAACAAACATTTCTCTAACTAATACTATTTAAAAAAAAAAAAAATGTTGCTTTGAGCATTTGTATTGAACAGATAGAAAGCGTTAATCAACTCTTTCAATTACCTAAGTATATATACTACTGAATATATAATCACCTTCTGCATCATCTTTTCAGATATTATGTTGCAAACTCAATAGTGTATTGCACAGTTGTCACTTAAAAGTCTTAGATGTTACATTTTATGCTACAAGACTTGCTAGTTGTACAGGGAAACTAAAATGACCACATGAAGATGTCCTGATGTTTGACCTCAATGTTTTTTTACAGGAAAAAACACAAAAACGTTATAATATTCAATTTCTAAACATTTGCTCCTGACAGCGACGAATACAGATTTCACAACCTATATAGTAAACCATCAAAACGCTGCGCTGAATGTGCTAGATGTATGTAGATGTATGACACCCTATGCAATAAGTATGTAGAGAGCAAGAGAAATAATGTTACCTGTGAAGGACACATGTGAGGCCAAGAACAGTAGAGTGATTGTCCTGCTCATTTCCATTACATTCCTTGAAATGATGAAGTTTCTGTGGATGCCGCACCTTACTGTTGCTTGGCCTGTAAGTGACGTGCAACAGTTTTTAGCCTTTCTGTTTTGATTGCTTCTACTGTGTCATTTCATACTGCATCTTTTACCAAACAGGAAGTGGCCCTAGCCCTGAGTTTTCTGTTCTAGTGAATGACAACCACTGCCTCCACCAAAGAGTCTCTTGTCCTCTCATCTCAAAAAAGTCTCACCAGCATTTCCTGTATATTTTTAGACCATCTTCAAGCTAACAGTTATGTGTCTTTCATGTGTATTTATGTGTATTGCAGGTTACTTCACAGCCACTGTCTGCTGAGTTTGATTTTTCCATTTTAACAGCATTGGGTTGATGTCTTCATAACAGATCTGAATCAAACTTGTTTCCCCCTGCAGGAAATCATACACAATAGAAATATTCTAACAGTTAAGGAAAAAATAAAATAAAATCAGGCAACATCTTCAGAACAGAAATCATAAACTTCCATCTGTAATTCTTATATCAATTAATCAAAGTTTTTTTTTCTTTTCCTTTTTTTTTTTTTTATTAAATATACATTGCAACTTGCAGTTCACAAGCTAGTTTGTGCATGTTGTGCCCCCTGCTGTTTTGCATTTGCCATTGGTGTGTTTTTATACACATGTACACTAGTACAAGTTTAAATTAGAATAATTTTTGACAAGGTAACAGGGAACATTCTCAGAACTTTGGCTAACATTTTGGCAAGGTTCCTTTGGCAAGTTATGAACAAACATTCTTACAGTAACATTAAAAGAATGTTCGTTTGAAGTTATATGGTCTTTGGTAATGTTCTCAAAATGTTAGCACAAAAACTTTTTTTTTGTTGTTGGATGTCTAAACTTTTATAAATGTTACAACTTGTTTCAGAACTTGTTTAGAGACCATTCAAAAGTAGCGTTCCTATAATGTTTGCAGAATGATATAATGTTCCTTTCATGTTTGCATTAACAAAAAGAAAATTTGGATGTTTTGAACGTTCAAAGACAATTCAGAAATAATGTTTTCATAACTTATTGAGAACATTAGCAAAACATTCTTAGAACCAGTGGCGTAGCAAGTCAGCCCCGGGCCCATATGCAAAAAAAAAATGTGTATAGGCCCCCCTAAACGTTATTGGCTCCAACTCGGTTAACTTATTGTTGATTTTTCTGAAGTGATTAACGTTACGTGTATTCACAAGCTGTTTTATTTACGGTATAAATGCTTGGAAATAATATTTAACGTTTTCAAGTCCATTCATCATTTGTAGCACGCAAGCCACCCAATAATCGCAATAAGCTTTGTGCTTTGTTACTTATATTAAAACACAAAGTGTCAGCCTTCTGTCAACTTTATAATAAAATACTACAAACAATAAATGTGTTTTTACGCTTCTAAATTTGTAGTGAGATAACTATATTCGTCTCAGTTCAAGCAGCATGTGAATCAATGATATTTTCAATATTTGCAGCACGAAATAAACATGAATAAATATTTGAATGCATGTTGAAAAAATCAGAACAATTTAATACAAACGAATGTTTCATGAAATCGATCAATTAGAGTTTCAAAAAACGTCAATAAGCCTACCTTTTATTGCTATTTATATGTTAAATGTGAAGAATGACAGGTTGGATGCCACAGACTTTTAATTTAATTTATTTTTTTGGCGGGGTATAGGTGGAATTCACACATTAACTTCACGCAATAGGCCTATAACCTGATTTTATGATCGTAATTTTGACTTTATTCTTAAAATATTATGACGTTAATCTTATTTTTCAACATGATACTAAAATGCTGCCGTTGGCTATTTGTATACTGCATGCAAACACAATCTTGGTACAGAAGGCCAAAAAAACAAAAACAATAAATAAATATAAGGAGATATTTGAATTATTTATTAATGAACTAGTATTTTCTGAGTCTGTCACAAGATGAAGTTGACGATCCTGACTCTCCATCTCCTCAGGACTCGCGCCTTTAGAGAGAAATACATCTTTACGGATTAGCCTACATAATGAAAGAGTTTTTGTTTTCTATTTGAATTATTTCGTTTCAAAGTATTTAAAGCAGTCTATTAGATATATTTATCATGTCTGTGAGGAGGCAAGTATTCGCTGAGAACCGCTCCTGCTCAAGACCAAGACGACAGAAAGCGCATCCTGTTTGTTTTCCTTAATTATTTTAAAAAAGCACAGACTTTTGTTGATATTGTTTGTGAGTGCACACAAATAAAAGTAGACCCTTTACAATTCCGAATGTTGCATTACTCTTACCTTTATGAGCAAAAATGATGGCATATGTTAAGTTTCCACTCTTAAGAAAAAAATGCAAGTGATCACGCTGGCACCTCCATCTCCTGTAAAGCGCGCTTCAGCTTCCACTCTCCGCACAAACGACTGTATATGTAAGGGATAATTGACAACGTGTCGTCAATTATTCCGCTTATACTACGGTTACCACACCTCAAGACATCGATCAGATTATATATTTAAAGGTATTCCTCCGGTTTTTGTACTTAAATTGCTATTGTGAGTAGGAATATTTCTTCCGCATCTCATCCAACGCCTCTTCTGCTAGTTCCAAAACGTCATTTTAAAGCTGGTAATGGAGGCTTGAGCCGTTGATAGCATTCTAATGCAGTTATTAATGAAGTTATTAGAAAGAGAGCGAGAGAGACAGAGACACACAGAGAAAGAGAAAGAAAGAGAGAGAGCGAGAGCTTGTGTAAATTAGGCTACCTCTGTGCGTCCCTCAACAGTGTTCTGCAGCAGCGTCTCTAAACAGCGCTGTTATTACTTCGCTAGTGAGAAATGTCATGTAGCCTTTAAGTTGCTACACTATGTAGGCTAACTGATCAAATCGTCAGAGCAGCGCTGCAACACCTTTTTGTGCAAACTGCGTGACCGTAGTATGCGTGTGCGAGCACGTGTGATTGCAGTACTTCCTGTGTGCTGTATAGGTACTGTATGCTACTTTCCGTCATTACAGTTAACTATGCGAAGTGATATGGAACTGTAATGCGGTCAAGAGAGCTGCCTGGAACTACGTTCACCGTGCGTTTCCCTGAAACGTTCGTCAGCCAATCAGATTCAAGCATTCAACGGCCCCGTAGTATAAGCATCTAACAGCACACATTTATCTAGGTTACATTTTTAAATTAATATTGTGAATTGCATGAAGTGTTTTATATCTATAGATTTTATTTTAGGCAAGTCATGTTGATTTGAGAAGGCTAAATTGATCAAACATATGCTCAAATCGTTACTTTAAAAAACAACAACTTGAATTTAACAAACATAAAATGTTCCAAACATATTTCTAAATTAACTTAATAAAGAAACGAAAATAAATATAACCACTTTGCCATTAAAAACCAAAACTGGACTAGCCTATTTGCTGCAACAGCAGCTGTGTAAAGGGGAAGAAAGAGAGAGAGAAAAAAGACACGGGCTCGGGTCAGACTCAGGCCGAGAATATTCTGATAAACTGTCGGAAGGGCCGGCCCGTGCAGGGCTCTATTCATTCCCTCGTTTCAATTAAAGGTTCCCGCTCGGCTCGGCGGGCCCACAATACGCCCGGGCCCATATGCACCTGCATACAAGACATTAATTAATTAATTTTATTAATTACAATATTTGTGGTACTTTACCTTTTTTTTTTTTTTTTTTTGCTGATTTTGTTTTTATTTATAAAAAAAATGTTTTACTGTTTCAGTGTAGCTGAAAATGTCTAATAAGCTTTTTTAAAGGCAGATTCCACTGTGACAACTTACTTCATATAGAGTGACAACATTCCACATGATTCTATGAACTGTATCTTTTTTCCTTGGTAACATAGTTGGAAATGTTCAATAGCTTTAAAATGTTTCAAGTCTCTATCACGTGTCTATACAGAAACTGATATTACAAAATGAATCTAACTTGAGAAATATTCACTGGAGGGAAAAGATTGACCACTAGCTCCAGTCTCCCTCATAACTGCTGTCAGTGTTAGATTAATTTCATAAAACAATTTTACCAGGCTCTCTAAATACACCATTGCAAGCAACATAAAAGGGTAAAAGGTCAGGTACCCGACTCTCTCTCTCGCGCTCTCTCTGGCTCTCTCTCTCACACACACACGCGCGCGCGCACACTCCGCATTTGAACAGTCAATAGCAAATACTTAAACCAGTAACAAAACAGTAGCTGATTCAGAAGCGCCAGATTGTCATAGCAAAGTCAGAATTACCTCCTCTCCT